CCGCCACCAGCCACGGCCAAAGGTACAGCCACCCACAGCCTCATGCAGCACAACAAGAAGCAAACACAAGCTGTTGAGATCTTGTGGTTGTGTGCGAGGGAACAAAGTTAATGCAGTGTCCCGGTGTAACAACAGTGCTATCTCACATTGCACTTACTGTGTGCTTTATTGTAAGAATTTCATGTATGTTATCATTTACTTTTCAGGGGGAAAAAATCCAATGAACTAGTATTATTCTTCCCATTTTACAAACATAAATTTGTGTGGACAAAACTGATGCAGAGGGAATAAATGGCTTGCCCTAATTATTGGAACTTGGTTGCTTGATTTCAGACTTGAGTGCTTGCCCTGCTTCCTGTTTCCCATGACAAACCCATAGTGTGACTTCAGAATCCACATTCTTCCATGCCACTTCCTCCCAACTTCGGAACTTCTAGAGGCTCCCTGAGACTCTCAGGTAAAAGTCAGAGTGTCCTATACCTTGGAACTGAATAATCCAACTCTTTCACTTGCTCAGGATCAAGTAACTCAGTAAAGCCCAAGCCAGGGTTAGAACACACATGTCCTTCCCATCAGCTTGGGTACATCCTGCCTGCTTTCCAAAGCCCTACAGAATCTGCCCATCCACCTTTCCACCCATTCAAATTTCTCCCAAGTGCTTCCCCTTCTGATTTAGCTGTGTGGGGACTCTCACTGTCCTTTGGTCATCCTCCTCCTAAGCCCAGGTCCCTTCGCTGGTGTCCCCACTGCCCCAAGTGCTCCCCCTCTCCAGCATTCAGCACTGAGCTGGTACCACCCTCTGTACCCAGTGAAGCCAGCTCCAAGTTTCTGCCCATGCTGGGTCCTCTCTCCTGAGTTTCTCCTGTGCTCTGATGTGGTTTGTCCTTTAGCCATCCTTCGTGTGTTTCCTGTGTGCACACTACAAGCTCCTAGGGACCTTGCACAGTTCAAAGAATGCAAAAGGTACGTGGCCAATGCTTGTTGGTTAGCTGAAACTCTAAATTTTCATTTCCTCAAAGACTGGGGAAAAGGAGGAAAAAGTTTGGAGCAAGAAACTATGACCTGTCACTGACAGTGCACCTGACACACTCAGGTATGCGTTCCATGCCTTAAGGCTTGACAAAGCTCATTACAAGAAACAGGCACGGGGGGGGCTGCAGCTGCACAACTGTGCTGTGAGAGATGTCATACTCGGCATCTTTAATGCTCCCTCTGAGACACTTTTAAGAATTTGACTTAAACAAAAAATGTTCTCTTAGAATATGGCCCACTTCTTTCTCACTGATCTGGGGATTTTCTTCTCTGTGCCAGATGACAGAAGCTCTGAGTCAGGGTCATGTCTGATCACTGCCCTTGCGGTGTCCTGAGCACAGGCAGATTTGCTCTGTGCTGTGCCTTTCAACCTCCACCTGACTTCACAGTGTCCACGACACGTCACGCGGCTGCAGGCACCTCAGCTCCTTTGTGCAGAGGAGAATGAAACCCACATCAGGCAGAACACAGAACGCGCCCCCGGGAGGAAACACACCAGGCCTCCCAGCGTTTCCCGTACGTCTGCACCTTAGAGAAACTAAGTCAGCCGGATGCAAGTCCTACTGAATGATCTTTCTTTCCTGCTCACTGTCCCTATTTGATTAACACCCACACGTCTGTGAACACAAACACACATCACACACCAGACGCACACGCATTTACAAATACAGTAAACAGTGCTTTTCTAAGCAGGAAAAGTGAACTTGAATGTGGATTCTACCCCACAGCCCCCAGTAAGACTTTGATGAGCTACTAGGTGTCTTCGAACCTCGGGCCACGTCTGGAAAACAAGGATGATCCATCCCAGCTGCCTTCCTTACAACAAGGTCTGAGAAGCAAGTCAGAGATCCAGGAAGTCATTCTGAAGGCTGGGATCTGTGCAAGAGCAGGCGTAATCAGTGCTCCCAAGGCCCTATTTGGAACACTATTAGCTGTAACTACAGTGGAGTACAAACTTCTCACACACACACACAACTGAGTAGGCTTCCTCCTCTGGTGGCTCCATTTGGAGCCAGGTACTTCTGCAGGGCCACAAAGCCATGTGCCTTTGTTTGCCCAGAGCCACACCCAGGATGTCCTACTTGCTTATGTGCAGTGGGCACCTAGAAATAGCTTCAGCAAAGTTAATCCCCAGCAGTGCCATTCACTAAAAAAAAAGCTACACATGAAAGAGAGCTTCATCAATATTTTAAACAGTCCTTGGGGGCAAAAGCTGTGTTCGTGCTTTTCCTTCCCTCATTCTCTGCCCAGCTGGTCCATGTCCTCAGCAACGGGATGAAGAGGAGAGAAGAGAAAAAACCTCCACGGCCACCACAACCTGAGCAGACGGTTTCCTAATTCAGCCTGTCTGCCTCAGGGCCTTTGTCCACACTGCACCCACCTGGAACCCCTTCTCCACCCTACATTAGTATTCCCGTGGGGGATTCTGGGAATCTAGGAACCTGGAGAAGCTGGGATCTTCTTCCTCGTATTCAAATGGGACAGCAGAGACTCAGAGGGCAGAGCGACTGATCCAGCAACCAGCCAGTGGGACCAGGGTGACAGCCAACTCCCCTCCACTTGTTCCTGGGAACCGCATCTTCACCCTAACACCCCAGCTCTCTCCACGGGGTGCAGGGCTTGCTCTCACTGCAGGGTGCACACAGGGCCAAGGGCAGGGTCCACAGTACAGACCTTCCTCAGTCTCCCACTGTGCCACCCGAAGCCTGGCTCTCCACACCTTGCTCTGTCCCCTCTGCCTCTCAGAATACAGTAAACTGCTGGGGCCTCTGCCAGCCCCCTGCACTTCCCCACCCCTCGTGGCCATTCTGGGCTTCGATGTCAGTCTCTGCCAAGTCTGCAAGGGCAAGGTTGAGGCCAGTCCTTTCCCAGAGCCCAGCACCATGCTCACCATTACTGTTAACGCACCCATAGCTGCTGTAGGACAGGCTAGGGGTGCAGGATTTGGAAAGCCATAAAGGCATTTATAGAGAATCTGCTCCCTGTCACATGTGCATTATTAGCAAAAGGCCCCCGGGCAGCTGAAGGGTCCACAAAGTAGCCCCATCCAAGTTGATCCCGTCTGGATTTTTGTTTTCTCCTTAAAATCACAGATCTTTCCCACTGGGATGGGCAGTGTGAACCAAATGAACACCACGCCTCCTCCAGGGCCCCCTTCTGGGTTACACATAATCTTCAGCATGCCTCCTCCGCGCTTATGGGGCCATCCCTATGGTCTCCCTCACCCACGGGGAGGCCTCTTGCTTCCTGCGACAGACCCAAGCAAGATCAGCTCTGCAGCCCTCCAGGGCAGCTGCGCCCAACACACCTAAAGCTGTCAGGGCAGCAGAGGATGCCGAGGCTCTCAGACACCAAGTACAGAGAGGTCCCAAGCCATCCAGTGCAGAAGCCTGGGCAGCTCATCTCCACGGCAGAGGGCCACGCAGGGAGGGCACCGAGGCTGGGCGGGCTGAGAACTGTACCACTCAAGGGCAGCATTCCCACAGACCTGCCTCCCAGGACCATCTGTTAATCCTCCATCTGGGAAACTGGCATCCTGAAGGGCACAGACCTGCCGTGGCACACAGCCTCAAGGAGCCCAGGGCTCCTGCCCCGGTGGTCCGTGTATCACCCCCAAATCCATCACTGGCCTCAGCTCTCCCAGAGAACAAGGTTAGAGGGCCCCAAGAGAGGGATGCTTTCTTCCCGCATTGCCTGGCCTGCGGTTACCACATTTCTTCCATGGATTCTTTGCCAACTGTTTACAAATTGGCCGTGTGTCTCAAGGGGGAGAGCAGAGAGATATAGATGGCATCCCCAGCACCAGGTCACACCTTGAACAGGATTGTCCATGACCAGGAGAGAGTCACCAGCTCAAGGCCTAGCCCAAAGTAGTTGGGATGGACACAAGGGAGAGAAGGGGAGGCAGGGACCAAGGTCCCCCGTAGCCTCTCCCTCACCTATACCCCACCCACGGTCCAACCACTGGGTGCTTCAAGCTGACAAGGTTTCCCTCAAAAAACAAGGGTTGCACTGCCCTGGGCAGGTGTGTGGAAAATGTCAGGTCCGCCCCCTGACCCAAGGCTGCCCTCTGGCAGGTCCCCAGCCAGCCACAAGTGTGCATCAGAAAGCATGCCGGGTCTGCACCTTCACAGGGCAGGAGTCACCCTGGGGAATTCCACCACTCCCGAACAGCCTGAGGGGCACCCTCTGCGCGGGTGCAGGGCATCCCTGGGCGCCGGTCTGCTGGATTCACGCCAGCTGGGGAACCGGGTGTGGGCCTCCGGCCCTGACCGCTTCGCCCTCAGCTCCCCGCCGAGACAAAGCCTAAAGACTGGGGCTCCTTTGTTTCCGACCACACCCAGGGACGCAGCCCGACTGCTCAGCCCGCAGCGTGGTCCCCACACTGGGCGGTCCAGCCTCAGCCGGTTAACCCTTCCAGGGTCACTGCCACCACGGTCGCCCGGGAGGCTGTTCAGAGCTGCGACGAGGGGTGGGAACGCGCTTCCATCATGGCGCTGCCGGGTCTGGACTTCCACCAACGGCAGAGGCGGGAGCGGGAGCCGAGGTTCACCTCTTCCCTTCCTCGGCAAGGGGCGGAGGTGCTGGGGCCGCGCGCTCGCCGCACCCTCCCCACCCAGTGCGAGGGCGAGGGAGGGGGTTCGGACCCCGCGCCCCTCCCTCTTTTGTTCAGCTCAGCAACCTCGCTGGCCAAGCCATCCCCCCAACCCCCGCGCATCCCGTGGGGGAGGGGGCCGCACGCCCGTGGGGAGAGGGACCCGAGGCTCCGGCCCCGCCCCGCCCGCGCCCCCCCATTGTCCCCAGAGGCTGGGGGAGGGGGCGGCCAAGCCCAGACCGGCCCCGCCCCGCCCGCGGGAGACGCGGGAAGCCTCCCAGGCGTCCCTCCCCGCCCCACCCGTGCATCTGGACCCCGACGGCGGCGACCACCCCCACGCCACCAGGCGCGGCAGCGGGTGGGGGCCGCTTACCGTGATGTGCGGGATGCTCTTCTTGCCCTGGTAGGACATGGTCCCTCTGGCCCCACCGCCCGGCCGCTGGCCTCTCTGGATCGCGCTGTGGCTTGGCCCCGCAGGCACGGTGACAAAGGCCGGGGGACTATGGAGGGAGGCGCACGAAGCTCGGCGCGCGCGGGTGCCCACGCGCGGATGCCCGGCTGTGGCCCGCGCTCAGCTAGCTGCCAGCACCGCGCGGCTCGGCGCAGGGCGGGAGGAGGAGGAGGCAGGGCGGGAGGAGGGGGCTGCAGACAGACAGCTCCTCCCGCGGCGGCCTCCGAGCCCGATTCGCCCCTCTCCGCTCGAACCAGGAAGCGCTTCCCTTCCGACCCCCGCCCGCCCCGCCCGCCGGCGCGCGCGCCCTCGCCGGGCCCGGGCCGCGCTCCCCCGAAAGGGAGGGGTGCTTTTCGGGAAGCGCTTTGGAAACGCAGGAAACAGCTTTCTGGTGGCCGGACGGGGCCACACAGGTGCGACCCTCAGCGCAAGGGCCTCGCGGGCACCTGTGCGGGGAAGGCGGTGTGGCCTCGAATGGGGACCCGCCCAAGATGCCGGGAGCGCTCTCCGCCCTCCGGCACAGCGCGCAGCGACCGCCCCCCTCCGGCCACTCCTTCCACAGCCTCCTCTAGTCCGCTCCGCCACTCCCTGAATGGACCAAGCCCTTTCCCTCGCCTGCTCCAAGCCTTTATTCGGGCTGGCCCTTCTCCCTGAATGCCCTACCCTAGACAAAAGGTTATTCATCCCGCGCCCTCGGGCTCTTCTCCCCGGAGCCTCTCCCGCCCCGTCCCCACCCCGTCTCCGAGCCGGCTTTAGGAGGACTCCAGGCAGAGGGGATGCGGCGGACAAGAAAGGCAAGGCCCCAGTCGAGCTTTGGCCCGCCGGCAGCCTCGCATGGGGCCACTGGTCCCCCCAGACCTGCCCACCAGACAGTGAGTGCTTGGGAGGTGAGACCATTAGCACGGCGGCCCCACAGCCCTGCGGGCCTGAGGAGGAGGAATGGGATGCCCTGCCTGTTGGAGGGGTGCTCTCCAGCCCCAGGGACCCCTGACCCAGATGGTGCCCCAAAGGGGTGGGCAGGAAGCCAGGACGCCGCCTGATGGATTTCCTAAGAGAGGAGAAAAGACACAGAGGAGGGAAAGGGGGCGCCCCAGGGAGCCCCGAGAGGACTGGACAGGGGCCCCCAATCATCAGACAGAATAAAGCACCACCCTTCCCTCCGCTTCTCTGCCCATTTTCTGCCTGCAAAATCCAAACCGAGGGGCCCTGCAAGAGGACCCATCTCCTCTGCTTTCAAGTTGCCACCCCGAGGGAGGGTGGGCCCGGCTTGGTAAAGCCCCTCCGCACGCTGGTTGAGAGCCGGAATCCGGATTCCATTAGTGTGGTCAGTGCCCTAGCCCAGGTCTCCAGGCCACACAGGAGATTCAGTCTTAAAATGGACTGGGGTTGTACGTCCCCATAGCACAACCAGGAACACCGGCCATGCTGTCCTCATTTCACAGATGAAAAACAGGTTTAGAGAGATAAATTTATGTGCCCGGGGCAGAACGCATAGGCAGAGCAGAATCTGCAAGCTATGTCTCCGCCCACAAGTCTAGGTGTTCCTACACTCAGTCACCGAGCCCAGTTCTGTGCTGGACCTGAGGGTCTCCCGAATGACCGCAAATTCAGGTGGGAACGGGGTCCTCCGAGACTGCTCCACACGCTCTGGTTCCGGGGCCCGCGCCTTGCCTGGAGTCAGACTCGCGATCCGGGAAGAAAAGCTGGGGTTGGAGACAGGGCCAAGTGCGAATTAAGGGGAGGAGCACCTGCTCCGGGCTGGCCAAACAGATCGCTGCTCCCAAGCAGACTTCGCGGCTACAAAGCGCCGCAGCGGCTCAGCCTCCAGAGCCGCCGACGGCGCGCCTGCGCCCCAGTAACCCCTCCTCCCTCCTCCCCGGGCCGAGCCTGGCGGGCGGGGGAGGGGCTGGGGCGCCGCCAGAGAAGCGCTGGACTGGAGAGGCTCGCCCCAGAACACTCGGAAACCCAAACCTGCGGCCACTCGGTTCTCAGAAAGTAAAATGCTTCCTCCTGGGGTCCGCGAGCCCCTCCGCGCCTTCGTCCCGAACCCAGGGTGCTTTCCAAACCCTCTGAGCTCCCGAGACGCCACCTTTGTCCAGTCCCTAAGAAACCACAGAGAAAGGGCAGAGGGGAACGGAGCTGGACAGGAAAGAGCAGGGGCGCGGGAGTCGGGAGAGGCGAAGAGACCCGCGCACCCTGAGGAACACTGGGTAGAGCCCAGGGGCCACGGTGGCGCTGGCGACACTGGCTACAGCCCAGGCAGAGACGCGCCTCGCGGACAGCTCCCGCCCTGCACAAAGCGCTCTCGCCTCCCGGCTGCTTCGCCACGCCTCGAGGGAGGAAGAGAGAGGGCTGCCCACCCTCGCAGGTGGAGATCCCGGGGGTTAGCAGGGCGAAACGCTTGACTGGCTCCCCGGCACTTCCGCCCAAGGCCCTGCGGCCTCCCGGTGGAGCAGGATCTCAGGGTGGTCGGACCACCCGAGAAGAGGAGTAGCAGAGCGAGTTAAAGAAGGGGTGGGAGGAGGAGACTGGACTCCACGCCCTCTCTTAGACGCACCCCCACCCCCGGGCCTCGCGTTCAGGACCGCGGAGAGCTCCCAGGAGTCAGCGCGGGCGGCGCACCATGCCGACCCGCGGGAGAACTCCAGCCACAAGCCGGCCAGGCTCCAGCGCCCCCAGGAAGCCCTCTCCGATTTCCAGCAAGAGCAAGTCTTTCCTCCCTCCAGGTTCATGTTATGCCTCTGATAGCACTTAAGGGGAGAATGATTAGTTAAAATGATAATGGTAATAATAAAACTCAACAGCAAAACATTTATTGAGTGCTTGCTACCTAACGGTACTAAAGGATTTAATTCTCGCAAGGGATCTGTCACTCATCCCAGCCTGGGAACTTCTGGAGGGTGGGGCCGGGTGACTTAGCTAGGAACCCAGCCGCACTGGAACCCTGAGTGCTGGAACAAGCACAAAGCTCAGCCACCCGCGGGTGCTCCAGCCTCCTTGTCCCGGCACCTGACCCTGACCCCCAGCCTTCCATCCCATGGCTCTGCCATCCATCCACCGTACTCCAGGTCCTCGGGAACCTCTAGCTCAGGGAGAAGACCCTAGGAGTATTCCTTCCCCTCATGCCCCGCCCCCACCCCGCCTTGAGAAGGGGGAAACTCTCCAGGTGCGAGCGTGAGGCTGGGGGTTCAAATCCCAGCCCTACTCCAACTCGCTCTGCAGGGTAGTGCCGTGCACTGTGCTCTGCGACTCGGGGGCATGCCTTGAAGACGTCAGCACTTGCGGGTGCGGGCTCCAACTACCCGGTGACCTACATCCTTAGCCAAACCCTCCCCCTGAAAGCACGAGAGGCGCCCTCGGGAACCTCTCTTTCCACATGAAAGCTGTGTGACCACGGCAAGTCACGGAACTCTCCCAGCGCTGGGTCCGCAGTTACACGCTCCACAGTGACTGAGTAGGTGGACAGACGGACGGCCAAATGCTGGACGGCCCTTCCCCTCTTTTCAGAGAATCGAGGAGCCCTGGGTTCAGTTCATCGCAGAGGTCCCTTGAAGGGCCCATGCGGCTGCTTTAGACAACTTCCCTTCTCAGGCCCTTGCTCTCCCTCTGCAGAACAGCAGCGGCCGCTGGACCTCGAGGGTCCTTTAGGGCTCCCGCGGACGATGCGGGCCAGCCCTGCGGAGTTGCACAACATCCTTGATCCTCCTACATGGGGAAGTGGGGGAGGGGCTGTTCCTTTGCCCTCGCGCTCCCAGTACCTGGACCCGGTAGTGCTCAAGTCCAGGGTCCCGAGGGCCCCGCCCCCCGTGCCTGGCCCACCCGCGCCCGGACAGTACCTGGCCATTGTCCCGGCCGAGCGGCAGGTCGCGGGGCGCGGGGCAGCGGATGCGCAGAGCGGGGGGCCGCTCGTCGCGGTCGCCGGGGGAGCTGACGGCTGAGCCCGAGGGCTCGCTCACGTCGCTGGCTGTGTCCTCGCTGCCGCCAGGCCCCGGCAGCC